ATAACAGCTATAGAAGCAAAAGCAAGAGAAGGACAGCATGGAAGCATCCTATAGATTGAAGTCAGGATCTGCTGCGATCTGATAGAGCAATCTTGGCTCCATCTCCTTGGCGATGTCCCTATTCGCCTCCTGGTCTCCTTTTTGCCCAGAGTCCAGTCTCCCTCTTGGGGGGAGCAAGAAGGAAAGGGCTCCCCCCCATCTGCAGCCAGGCTTCCCATCTGGCTCTAGGAAGAGCCATGCCACGAAGGGTTAATGTTAGAGAATTTTAATTTCTCTACTGGTGAAAAAATAAATCAGAAGCTCTCACAGTTGACTGCATTTAGCTGATTCAAAATAACTTCTTTATATTTATACCAAAATATTTACAATACTATACATTCTTCTTTACAGCAACATAGCACAAATGAAGACTTCTTACAGAGAGATACAGAAACAAACACATTCACATTGGCTGACTGAGTTATCACATGACTCTTCCTGCTCATGAATACTCCAACAGTTAAGATGTCCCAGCACATCTCAGGGGAGGCAGGGTGTACTTACTGTTCCAGAGAAGCATGGAGCTGCAAGCCTGTCCTGTGGAAAACCCTGTGCCATGGGTCCTTTCTCAGAAATATAAAATCTGGATGGTGGGGGGGGCTCATTGCCACTTATCCCACTGGACTAGAAGAACATCCCAGAGAAACTTTCCTGGGTGCAGAAGAGTTGACTGGAAATAAACCCAGGGAGTTGATCTCAGAACAGAGAGCTACTGTGGGGTAAGGGACCTCTTTGCTCCTGTCCTCTGTGTGCTCTTAAGTCATCGGACTTCAGCTCCAGACCTTCATTCCCACTGCAGTGACCTTGCTGCCTGATTCTGCTGTGCACGCCCTCCCTTTTTCCCAATTTTGCCTGTGAACTCAACCTATCCTAGACTTTCCCACGTATTTTCTGAACCTGCCAGCAGTGCTACAGTGGTAGCCACTTTGGTTTTGCTTTTAAACCTGCTCTCTTCAGCAAGACATCTGGCAAGACTTCAGGGAAGCTCTTCCCTCCAGGGAAATCTGCCTCTGGGTTGGCTGATAACTCTGGCAGAGATGCAGCCAGCTGCGAAGCAGAAGCAGGAGAGTTTAGGTTCCCCTGAAAAATTGCTAGGCATCGTAGCCCACCTGGAATGGAACAAGGCAAGCAGGGTATCACAGTCGCCGTCAGGTGCAAAGTATGGCTTTGAGTTTTCATGCTAGAATGGGAAAAAGGGGCGTTGTCTTACCTGAACGCCTTTTCTCAGCATGAAGATGTAGCATCTACCGATTGGGTAATCAAAGCCCTCCTGCTCAGATTTAGACTAAGACCAAACTTTAGCCACGCCTCCCTTGGGCACTCCTTTCCCAGTTTTGTCGAGGCAAAGCGTTCATTAGGTCCGACACAGTAGCTCCTCCTGAAAAAAATCTGCCTAGACTAAGTGTTAAGGGTGGGTGTGGATGCTACATCTTCATGCTGAGAAAAGGTGTTCAGGTAAGACAACGCCTCTTCTCCAGCATGATAGATGTAGCATCCACCGATTGGGACAAACCAAAGCCACCCGTGTCCCTGTCGGGAGGGAAATCTAGGCTTGTGGCTCTGCCGAAGGATGCGTCTGAGGCAGCGAATTTATCAAGCTTGTAATGCCTTATAAATGAAGAGGGGGAAGCCCAGGTGGCTGCCCAGCAAATTTCCTCAATCGAGGCCTGAGTGGACCAGGCCGCAGATGTAGCAGCGCTATGTGTAGAATGAGCAGTGATGCGAGGAGGAACAGGAAGAGACTGAGTCCTGTAAGCGTGAGAGATGCAGGCCCTAATCCATCTACCAATGGTCGAGGATGATACTTTCAGACCCATGGAAGAAGGTTGGAAAGACACAAACAAGGCCTCCGATCTACGAAATGCAGCAGTTCGCTTCACATAGTGATGCAAAGCCCTGTGTACGTCTAATGTATGCCACAATATTTCAAGACGGTGAGAAGGTTGCGGACAAAAGTCCGGAAGAATCAGATCTTGATACCTGTGGAAGCCAGTATTGGCTTTCAGAATGAAAGAAGGGTCCAATTTTAGGATCACTCTGTCATCCAGAAAAACACAAAGATCCTCCCTGATCGAGAGTGCAGCAAGTTCCGAGATGCGTCTTGCCGAGGTGATGGCTATCAAAAAGGCTACTTTCAATGAAAGGAAGTGTAGTGAACAAGATCTGATGGGTTCAAATGGTGAACCGGTAAGAACCTGCAGAACCCTTGGCAGGTCCCATGTGGGATATCTGTGTACTACAGGGGGACCTGAATTAACGGCTCCCTTAAGGAAGGCCGTAACAGTTGGATGATGAGATAGCTGTACCTGATCCTCGCAAATGAGGACCGTGGATAATGCTGCGATCTGCCTACGGATGGTATTGTGAGACAGTCCCCTGTTTAGTCCGTCTAAAAGGTAGTCCAATAATATCGGAATGGTGGTAGCCAGTGGGTTGACCCTCCTGGTGTTACACCATGCACAGAAACTTTTCCACGTGGCATCGTAGATCCGGTTAGTAGAGGGACGTCTGGAGGCTTGAATTATAGCAATCACTCCAGTCGAATAGGACTGTCTAGTTAAGCTCTCCCTTTCAAGTGCCAAGCGGCTAGTTGAAGCCACTGCAGGTCCCAATGTTGGAAATGACCCTGACTGAGGGAGATGCGATCTGCTGAAATCTTCCAAGGTGGGGAGATCGATAGGTCCACGAGATCTGCAAACCAAGGACGCCTTGGCCAATGTGGGACCAGTAAGATTAATTCTGCCCCCTCTAATAGGAGTTTCCTGATGACAGCTGGAATCAGGGGAAGTGGAGGGAAGGCATGCAGAAGTCCCTTGGGCCATCTGCTGCGTAGCGCGTCCATTCCCTCCGCCCCCTGTGACGGAAACCGCGTGAAATATCTGGGAAGCTGAGCATTTGCTGGCGAAGCAAACAGGTCTACATGAGGCTGCCCGAACCTCTCTGATATTTCCCTGAAGAGGTTCGGTTCCAATCGCCACTCCGAGTGGTCTATCGTCGCCCAGCTTAGAGAATCTGCCTGGCGATTCTCCTCCCTGGAAATGTGTTCTGCTCTGATGGATTTCAGATGGGATTCTGCCCACAGACCCAATGCTAGGGCCTCCTGCATGAGGGACCAAGATTTGGTCCCTCCCTGTCTGTTGATATGAGCCTTGGCTGTGACATTGTCCGTCATTACCAGGACATGATTCCCCTTCACTATGTTGGAGAACTGGCAAAGAGCCAGGTATATTGCCCTGACTTCTAGCCAATTTATATTGTGCGTGAGGTCGTGCTTGGACCATTGACCCTGAGCCATATGTGTCTGCATGTGCGCTCCCCAACCGAACAGACTGGTGTCCGTGGTCAGGATAAATCTGTGAGGCTCCTTGAAGAACGTCCCCTTGTGTATGGCTGGTGACCCCCACCATCTGAGTGACTGTAGAGTGTGGTACGGAACTCTCACCTTCCGTGTGGAGGCACTCATGTTCCACTTCTGGAAGGGAAGCAGGAACCATTGTAGATGTCTGGAATGAAGACTGGCCCATGGCACTATTCCTAGGCAAGAAATCATCTTCCCCAACAGCTGTGACAACTGGACAAGGGGAACTACCTTCTCTCTCTGGATCCTGCGAACTAGGGATCTGATATTGTCCCTGCGTTCCTGGGAGAGGTAGAATTTGCATAGGTCTGAATCTATCACCACCCCTAGATGCAAGATCCCAGTGGTAGGGGTGGTGTGGCTCTTCTTGAAATTCACTGAGAAGCCGTGTCTCTGAAGTGTCTCTATTGTGGTCTGTAGATCTAGTTGAGCAGTGCGGAATGAACTGGACTGGATGATTATATCGTCCAGGTAACATTGTACTCTTACCGGTATTAGTCTGAGATGTGCCACTAATACTGCCAGTATCTTTGTGAATACCCGTGGTGCCGAGGATAGACCGAAGGGAAGTGCCCTGTACTGATAATGTCTGTTTGCATGGCAGAAGCAGAGGAATCTGCGGTGATGTGGTCTGATAGGAACATGAAGGTAGGCTTCTGTCAGGTCTATGGAGGTAATCTCCCTTCCTGACACTGGCTAGAATGGACTTGAGGGACTGCATTTTGAACTTCCTGTAGATTAGGAAGCGGTTGAGTCCCTTTAGATCTAATATCGCTCTCCATCCCCCCCCCCCCCCGAGGCCTTGGGAACCATGAAGAGAATGGAGTAGAACCCTTTTCCTTTTTGTTCCAGAGGAACTGATTCTATGGCTCTTATTTCTAATAAGTGTGATATTGCTGTGTCTACTAGTTCAGCCTTGTGTGCATGTCTTGAGGCGGGGCACTGAAGGAAACAGTCTGGTGGTATGGACTTTAGTTCTAGGGCTAGACCGAATCTTATGGTCTCTCTTACCCAGGTATCGTTTGTGGTGACGTCCCAAGTGTCGCTGAACAGGGTTAAGCGTCCGCCTATGGGAGGGTCCAATCTGGCGTCACTTAGACCTTCGGAATGGACGGCCTCCCACCCCCCTGAAGGGTCACTTGGTCTGGAACTGACCCCTGGCTCCTGAATTCTGGCGGTCCTGTTGGCGATCTTGTCTGGGGGAGAAGGATCGGGAACCTCTGGGCCAATCCCAGGACTGCCCTGATTGAAAGGGCTGCCTCCATTCCCAAGAACTTCCGGCCCTGAAGGACTGCCTGCAAAATTCTTGTTGAGGTCTCCTATCCGTCTTCTTGGACGGATGAGCTAAGGTTTTTCTCTTATCCTTCCCTTCAACCAGGTACGGCTCTGGGATTTGGCCAAATAAATTCTTGCCACTGTAGGTGTCTGTAGCAAGATGCCATCTTGACTTTAGGTCAGCCCTCCACTGTTTGAGCCACATGAATCTGCGGGACGCAACTGTGGCCGCAATAGATCTGGCCGAAAATTTGATGGAGTTGAGGGAAGCATCTGACATGTATTCCGCTGCCATTACTAGTTTACCTAGAGTTTGTTGTGCGCGTACCTGGTCTGGAGGAATTAATGCCTGTAGTTCCCGGAGCCACATGATAGAAGTTCTCGCGAAAAAGGACGAGGACGAAGACACCTTGATGGCCCAGGCAGAGGCCTGGTGAGCCCTGTGGAGAGAAAACTCAAAACGTTTATCTTCCACCTTGAGATGTTCGGCCATGTCTCCAGGAACAGTGGATGTGGAGAACAAAAATGTTAATGGAGCATCCACTGTGGGAACCTCTAGAAGGGAAGAGAATGCAGAAGATACATTATACAATCTCTTGGTAGGGTGGCCAGTGAGGTCCACTCTTTTTCCACCGTCTCGTGGAAAACAGCTAGACAAGGAACTTGTTTTTTCTCTACCACTTTCTAACAAACAAAGGGTTTGACTCTTGTGCAGCCGAGGTAGATGGCTTGGGTTCCTGCTCCGAGACCAGGTTGGCCGTTGTGCAGGCTTTTAACAAAAGAGATTTGAATAGGTTTGGATCAAAAAGCCCCGATGTTGGGGTTGGATCCTGAGTTACCTCCTCATCTTCAGACATAGGTCCTTCAGTTGTCACCAGGTCAACAGATTCAGTCTCCCCAAACTGAGATGAAGTCTCAGAAATACCTGAACCCGCTGACTGGGGACATCTAGTGCGGTCTGCGGGCAAAGGTGGAGAAGGTGAAACCTGTGAGGTACCAGCTGCTAAAGAAGAAGACATGAATTGATTGAAGGCCTGGTACATAAAGCTCTGAAACTGTTGAGCCCATAAGGATTGCTCAGCTGAAGGCACACCAGCAGCGGTGGTCTCAGGAGTATGCGTACTAATGTTAGCAGGAGAAATGGAAGGCCCTGGCAGAGGGGATGAAGGGATATGTTGTCTAGGGGCAGATAGACTGACCTGTTCAGTTCCCCCTTGAGGAGACCCTGCCCTGGGGGCTTGATAAGATGGCACCAGTGAGGGCTCATAAGGTGAGCTGGCCAGAGAAGCAGGGGGAACCAATTCGGCTTCTCTGGACCTGAGCCTTTGTGCATTGGAGAACTCTTTCTCTAGTGCCTGATGTCTCCTCGAGGCCGCTCGCTCAGCAGTCTTGGAGGGTTCTTTGGTTGATAAATGCTTGGTTTTAGCTATTTTCTTCTCCCCTATATTTGAATCTGAGGATCTGTGTTTTGCTTGAATGGGGGGAATATCAGAACCCTGCAAAGCCTGAGGAGACTCGCCATCTGCCATTGTGCCCAGGCTTTCCAGGTAGGAGAAGCCCTGGGGTGGGGGTAACTACGCAGATCAAGTTGTCCGGGAGGGAAGCTTCCCGCGCCCTAAGACAACCACAATGGCAAACAGCCAGAACAGCTGTCTAAAACTGTCTGCTGGGCCCTGCCGGCACAATGCCGGGAGCTAAATAGAACAGGTCAGGAACCCCACAATTTAAGATAACAGGTGTAATTATTGTTATTATTATTTTTATTTTATTTTAATTTATTTTATTTTATTTTTGTAATAAATCTCTGAGAAGCAATGCGTTGAAAAAACAACAGCTAAACCCCCAAGAGGACCCAACGCAGTGAGTCACTAATGCTAGGCCTGAATTGGAGGCAAACAGCAACCTTAAAATGGCGACCACGCCCAGCACCAAATTCAAAATGGCGGCCACAAGTCTTCTTTGCGCCTAAAAATGGCCTCTTCTTTTTTTTATTGAAATTTTTATAAACATTTTACAATAAAATCCCTCCCCACCTCTCTCCCTCCCCCCTCCCACTGACCCCTCTTCCCAGAGCTGAATACAGAGCTAAAAAAAAAACATAAAAAATTAAATAAACATCAAACAATTGTACATAAATCTTAAAAAGTTTTTAAACCCCTTTAACTCCATTACAATAAAATCAACAAATCTAAACATAACAACTTTATACAATAAGTTATTCAAAAGCTAATACTTTCTAATCCCATATTTGTTCTGAACAAAATTTACCCATCTTTTCCATACAGAGTTGTATCTCTCTTGTGAATGGTCTTTCAGATAAGCCAATATTTTTGCCATTTCTGATAAATAAGAAACTTTAAGAAACCATTCCTCTAAGGTAGGCAAGGAGTCTTTTCTCCAATATTGCCCAATCAATGGCCTCTCTTCTTAGTCAGAGCTGTAAGACAGCTTCTCGGCCTCGTCTTTGAAGTCCCCATTCAGGCAGGCAAAAAGACGGAGGGAACCTTACACACACTTCCCCCCTTACAGCTATAAGGCACCACAAACTACTTGTGATTCTGCAGCCTGGGAGTCTCTGTGCGATCCTGGATAGAGCCTCGTGGCCACGAGGCAAGAGAGAAGCTCTGGTAAGCGGCTGAATTCTCCAGAAATGCTGGCAATAAAAACTGTTATCAGACACAAGGGAAGCCTCCCTCGGTGTGCTGAACAGATACTCTGAGCTGAAAGCCGCCCCAGCAGCAAAGCTCCGATGATCCACGAGGCCAATTAGGCCCTCTGGAAAGCAAATCTTCAAGGTTGCTAATTCACTATCTTTTACCAAAAAAACAAAAATTATGTAAAGAGTACACTACAAGAAGCTATATTAACAATCCTAATGCTACACTATTTAAACTAACAATTGCTGAGGAGCTAACAAAACTGTGTCCTCTCTGAGCATAGATTAAGACAAAACTGGGAAAGGAGCACCCAAGGGAGGCGTGGCTAAAGTTTAGTCTTAGTCTAAATCTGAGCAGGAGGGCTTTGATTACCCAATCGGTGGATGCTACATCTATCATGCTGGAGAATGCCCAAGTGAATGAGCAAGAACTTTGGCAAAGGTTCTGAGAGGGACAGGCAGATGCATCTTTGAGCGCTTGAGGATGGGTGGCAATCAACAGGGGCCAGTTTGAACTCAAATGCCCAACCTGCGCTGCTTCCTCCACTGCACCTGGCTCAGGTATGGAAGTGGCAGGTCTCAGCATGTCGCAGACAAGACAGGATGGGCCAGGAGAAGGAAGAAGTAGAAGCATGCAAGGCAATAGAGGGACCCTCCCTGGCTGAGCCCCAGAGTGTTTGCCTGAAAGGCTGGGGAAGCAGCAGCAGCATTGAAAGTGGTGCAATGCCTGCCACCATCACCTGCCTTACATCCCCCACAGACCCCACAATCACTTCTGCATGCCACCACCACAGCCAGTTGCCCAATGCAGCCCCCTACAGCCCTTGATCACTCTTGCACATTGCCATTGCCACACCAGTTGCTTGGCGCACTTCCCACGGCCCTCCAGAATGGTGTGCTGCGCTCTCATAGTCTGTCGCTGATCGCTCACTGCCACCCACAGATTGGCTGGCGGTGTCAGATTGTCCAAACCGTTATTGTTTTTCCCTGCATATGTGCTCTTGTTTGGGGCCTGCAATTCTGCTGGGAGGAGGGGGGATTTGCTTTCACTTGGGATAATTTTTGCTTTCTACTTTTCCTCTCCCGCCTCTATCCATTTGAGAGAAGAATATGCCTCCCTTATCAGGGAGACAGTTACAGAGAAACAAAAGTGGAGAAGACGTTGAGATGTGTACCAACTTTGCCAGTTACTCAAACATTGTGCCACCTGTGAAATGGCTGGATTTCAAAGGGACACTATGACTTCGGTGGGAGGAGGAAGGTTGCTAGTTTACCTATACCGTTTAAAAGGAATTTTCCACAGATCTCGCCTTGACTTCCCTACTGCCACTAACCCCTAATAAAAGTTCTTTTTGAGATAATGCCTGTTTCAAGAGTTCTACTTTCTTGGGTGGTTAGCTGATGTGGGTCCTTACATAAGGCGAGATCTGCATAGTACTCAACCCAGAGAAGCTGCTGCTCTGCTGGGGGAGTTGCAACTGAATTCCACATGGAGGAATTCCAGGCAGAGAAATGGGCCAAAGATCTCTTCTGCTTCAGACCAGATGAAAGCCTCTCCAGGGACCTGGAAGAGGCTGGACCCAATGGTGAAGAAGATCGAGCCAAATGGTCACTTGGGGTTGGGAAAAAGGAAGGATAGGAAGAGAAAGCCCTGAAAGTCACCCTTACTCAAGGTGGAGAGAAGGCAAAGGCAAAGGCAAAGAAAAAGATCTAGAACTTGCCCCTCCTGATAAAGGAGAGAAGGAAGAATCAAAATCAGGGACAATGGAAGCAGTGATGGAGTACGTGAAAAAGTCCCTTGACGAGTTTGAGATGCAGCTGAAAGAACACCCTGAGTCAGAAGAAGAAGGAGAGAGCGAATTGGAGGAAAAGGAAGAGGAGGTCTGAGAGATGGTAGTGGCTGGAGCCCAAGAGGCAGTACCATGGTGAAGCTGTTCATCTCAAGGAACCAGAGGCAGACCACCTCAACCAGCTGATGTGAAACCAATTCCAATTGGAATGAAGTTCGATGGACACCCAAAGCGATTGGGATATTTCCTGGCATAAGTGTTCACCTACATGCAAATATATGGGAGAACACTGCCTACCAATGTTGAGAAGGTCCGAGTAGTTACCCTTGATTTGGAAGGTGGAGCAGCTGACTGAATGATGACCCTGTACAATTGCAACATACCCAAATTGAGGAATTTCAACCATTTTATGGCCATTCTTCGCAGACGTTTCAAAGACCAGCTGGCAGACAAGAAAGCCCGGGAGCAAAGTGAAGCAAGAAAGGAGACCAGTTGCTGAGTATACTGAAGAGTTCAGAGAACTGGCCAGCCATCTTTGCTGGCCGGAAGACATTCTGGTAAGCTCTTTCTAGGACGGACTCAACGAAGAGCTGTATAATACAGGCATAGCTTATGGAGCCCCAGGACGGCTGTATGACTGGTGCCTGCTAGATGAGAAAGTGGAAATTGCCCAGTGAGACCAACTTTCAAATCGCAATCAGAGAAGCAAGGGGAGACTGCACAAGGATTGCCTGCCTCATCTTGCACCAGTGCCTGCTTCAAATGTGCTAAAGAGGAACACTGAGCCACAGCAAGATACCTGCGAAGAAAGAGGATTGTTTACTGGCTGGAAGACCTCCAAGAGACTCACCGCACCCCAGGAAGACTGCGACGAGGTCTGAAGAAGTCGTAGAGCTCCCCCATGGCCATGACCGAGAGGACTGAGCTCCAACTCTACACTAAAATGACCCAGAAGGGATGGAGAGTGACTACGAAAATGACCCATTGATGACTG